TGATTGAACCATTTTAAAATTGTAAAGGTTATATTGTTATGGGCCTGCCAGTTAAGGAATGAGAAAATTCCTTGGGGAGGAGACAGAGATTAACTTGGATTTTGGAGGAAGCAGACTCTACATAATTTCTATTTAGAATTTCTTTTTCAGATCTTGTAGGGTGTCAAAATGAGTGAGGTGGTCAGGGAAGAGGGACATCAAGGGCTGTGTGTGAGAAACCAGGAGCAAGGAGGAAATAGAGACACCCTGTGTGCTTTAAACCTCAGAGAACTGCAACTTCTATCTTGGGAGCTCAGGCTAGATATTGCATAGATTTTTACATACAATTCTTTGCAATATTTACTCTTCTTTGTATAATGGGTATTCGCCTCTCCCTCAGTTGAATTTATAGAGAAGAGTTAACGAGTTTCCACATTCTTGGAAAATAACAGTCAGGTAAGGTGCAGTGGCAGCCTACAAATCGCTTCATTAAGCAGAGGATCACCACATTTCAGGAAGCAGCAATGACTGTCACACCTTAAAGGAGGTGCGATGCCAAAGAAGGAAAATGCATTTTCTTGTCTGATGCATTACAGCCACACACAGTATGAACGTTGATTTTATTGGGCCCATTTCCACACTATTGACATAACCAGGCCATTCCTTTTGGCTTATTTGTCTAGTTTATTTACCTTCACACTCCCTGATGCTCTGTTTTGGATGGTCTGTAGTTGCTTTACTGTGTTAATTTAAATTCCTACTTCTTTCTCCTACTGCTCATCAATCACTGGTTTTTTCATTTTTTATTCCTTCCCTTTTGGCTTCCAGTCACACTTTCCAGGGTGCTGCTAATTCTGCCCTTTATTCCCTTCCTTACTGGAATTTCCAGCTGGACACAAGCCCTACTGAGCACACCTTTTACAGCTGCCAGAAATAAGAATAGCGATCAGGGAAGTGTTTCCCTAAGTATTTGAAATGCTGCTAACTCTCAGAAAACTATCCTTTCAGGCACAGCAATACACTAAACCAGAGTGTGCTCAGGGGTTGGGATTTGAGGGGTTCTTGAAGGAAGTAATCTGTTGTTATTATCAGAGAAGAAAGATAGTCTGAAAAACAAGAGTGAGGCATTGTGGAGTATACAAAACTGAGCAGAGGCCTAGCATCGCTTCATCTGCATGAGCATGCAGTCTGGATTCTCTCCTTTTGTGGTTTTTCCGGAGCCTCTTTTAGCAATGAAGATCTGAAATTCAAGGTTGGAATTTTCAAGCGGGAAGCACGGAAGCACAAACACATTTTGCAAATTCATTAAGTAGAGTTTCGTTTCCCCAAAAGCCATCAGGGATAAAGAGACAGGTAATAACCTGTGTGTGTGTGTGTGTGTGTGTGTGTGTGTGTGTGTGTGTGTGTATGTGTGCAAAGATCACTGCCAAAAATTTAAAATGACAGTGGCTCATGCCTGGCAGGAGCTGGCTGAGAACGCTGTTCCCCTTTAATTCATCTCATGCCCATTTTGCGTTTGAATGGAGATTTTCTGATTTTTCCTCATTTTGAAATTTTCTGAACAAGAAATTCAAATTGAGCTAAATATGCTTTTTAAAATAGTATGCCCTTTATGGAATGCAAATTTTCCAAAAAGATTGAGTACCTACTTGATGGTAAGTCTTGTCAGCTTGATGGACTCAAACTTCTGAAACTGTGAGGCAAAATTAATCTTTCCTGCCATTAGCTGTTTCTCTGAGGTATTTGGAAACAGCAAGAAAGTCTGATTAAACTACTCTAAATACTAGAAATCTAAAAAATTTAGTTATGGGTCCCCTTGAACTACAGTTACAGATGGTTGTTAGATATCATGTGGGTGCTGGGAACCAAACGCAGGTCCTCAGAAAGAACAGTCAGTGCTCTTAACCACTGAGCCTCTCTCCAGCCCCTGTTGTTAGTTTCTGAAGAAAGATTTTATAAGACCTCTTATGAGGAACTGGAAAAGAAGACTCAATTTCTCTGAAGTTTCTCCTTTTGTCAGGAAAATGAAGCCTGCAGGAGAAAACATACAGTGAGTGAGTGCTGGAGCTAAGTCTAGAGAGAGCCTCTCAATTTGGTGTCCACACCTGCTGCTATAAAAAGGAGATAAGGTGACAATTGTACAATAGAAAAACTAAACTGAGTAAATACAAAAACAAAGACTGTTTGCACTAACAACCAAAGGCCCTTCTTTTCCTCAATACCATGTAACGAAGTTCATACACTCCCTTATGTTACACACAAAACATCTGGCACTTGGACAACAGAATAAATTTTGCCTCAACCATAATATTTGTCCCTAGGTCTACATATATTGTCTACATATATTGTTCCAGAAATGACAAGAAACATCAGTGAAGAAAAATGCAAACCCTACTTGAGGCCAAGGGCCTGTCACTGCTGCAATTGCTAGAGGAGCTGAGACAAGTGCTTTTTTGGGTATCAAAGGGATTTGAACTTGTGAGATTAGTCCTTGAGCACAGTAGCACGACCAGCTCTGGGAGGATGACTAAGGAATTCTGCTGTGGTCCCCTTGCAATGAGAAGAGTCAGAACTCTGAGATTACAGACTGAGTTTTGGCTTTTTTAAAGAAGGCTGCCCTAATTCCATCATCCCTCACTCTGGGCGAATAATAATTGTTATTTGTCCCATTTAAAGTATTCTGTTTCCTTTAAGTTTGCAGGTTGACATTGGAAGATGCCTCTTCTGTAATGCTTCCTATAGGCGGTGATGGCAGGCATGGCAGGCAGTGAGATGTAGTTAGCTAGGATAGCTCACATGTGTACAAAGGTCTGCAGAAAATGACTGTGTCTGAACATGGGACATCTCTGCTTCAACAATCACACTGAGGACAGGGGCTGTTTCTTGAGAGGCCAAATACCTTGTTGCTCCCATAAATTATGAAAGTGAGAGAGAGAGCAGGCTGTCTATTATAAACCCAGTAGTCTTATTTTTTTTAATAAACTCCATGACATCATTGAACAACGTCCATAATGTAAGACTTAATTCACTACCTGTTTAAGACATTGAGAATAACAATAGCTTATTAAAAATTGATCAGCCACATACACCTGCCCATGTGCAGTTTTAAGTGCAGCTGTGTGTGGTTAAGAAGAAAAGCTCAGTTACTAAAAGCAACTTCTGTGAGTGAAGCACTGTTCAAAGGAGGCAGGTAACACCTTTAGGCAGATAAAAGACAAACATCAGAAGCAACCCTCCCTCCAGGAAGCTGTTCAGATGCATGTATTGTGGTGGGAGGGGGGAGATATCACTTTAGACATCTCTTGTCTTTAGCTGTTTCACTTTCTATAGCATTTAATGATTGCAAAATGCTAGGAGTCATTTTCAACTTGTGGTTGGGCTGTGGGAACCACAGAACAGGAACTTCACTGGGACAGGAATCAGAGACAAAAAGCTTCTTGTGTGGGTTCACTTACTGTTTTAATTCATTTGTATTATTACCCAGCTTTAAAGGAACAGCTGATGCTTTTATCAGACTACTTTTTCTCTTCTGTTTATTCTTGATTTCCATGCAGGCTACTTTTGCTCTCTAGGAGGGCAAAGGCCTTCAGTACAGTGGATCAGTCTCAGCTTGCTCTGACTGACTCTGCTAGAAACTGGATCCAGACCTTCAGCAGGTTATTTCATGAACCTGTGTTCTCATTTTAAGCCAGGGATATTATGAACTGTCACACAAATTCACGAAAGTTAAATATGATCAAGTGTTCTATGCCAAGTCACAGGCTACGTCAAAATTGACTTCCTCCACAAGCACTATTGTAATAAGGATTTTCATGATACTACAAATGCAGTGTATTCTACCACTTCTCCTTCCAAGTCTCATATTCTCCACACTTCCCACTTTAGTATGCCTGGTCATTAGCTTATCTTTGTGAAGTGGCTATCACAGTCTTGGCCCCTGACCTTGGTATTTCTCAGAATCTATTGAGATATTATATTCAAATTTCAGTTTATATAGAGGGAAGGCAGAAATGCTCGTGGTTGGCTGATCTGCCTTGTATGCAATTAGTTGTTTAGCCAGGATTTGGTCTGAGGGCTTTCTGACTCCAGAATCTAGCTCTTTAACCATCAATTACATCAATTAAACTCCTCTCCTGTTACAGTGCAACCACTCCCACAGAAGCCTACAGAATGCCTGGTCTGTCTGACACCCAATTTAACCTGTTTCTGTAGCTCTTAATGCTCAAAGTTCAAAACTGCTGCATTCTGGTAAGGCTAGTCCCTGGTCTCTGGAGAGCCAGAGCATGCATGTCCCCTCTACAGCCTGGATCCACTAACTTGCAGAGCTAGCAGGGCAGAGAATGGCTTAGTATTCTCAGACATGTACAGAGGGGCAGAGAGACTGACCAGAGAAACACCATAGCAATAAAAGAATACACGGGGAAGGAATGGAAGGCAATGATTTATGGAGCACCTCAGGGCCAAAAATCGCAGGGAAGCGTCTTTGGGGAGGGGAGGAGGGTCTCTGAGTCCTCAGAAGCAGTTCCCAGGCCAGAGTCTAGCCTTATCTTTAGAGATGAGTGGGTGGCCAGGCACAGCAGATATGGGCGACTGACTTCCACCCACCATTGTGTATACGTGGCACAAATTTCATAGGCTGCCTGCCTTGGGTACCACTTCCCAGGTTTACGGTGATGAAAGGGAGGCCGATTCCTGCATGGTGGTCTTTTAGGGACCTGTGTGGGCATTAGTGAGCCTTGAACATCAGAATATTAAGAAACGGCAAGTTTGCAAGGCACACTCATTTTTTTCCTTCCTTGGATTTTCCTCTCCCTATGAGCCAAGTCAGATACATGATTTCGAAGTAATCACCCTCTCTATGCCCTGCCAGCGCCCAGCACCGAGCTGGGGAGCCTTCCTATAACACCTGGCAGAGCCATCCGCAGCTGTGCACGCGCTGAGTAGGAGGCGGCTCCAAAGTGACGCGGCCAGCCGCCTCCTCCCCTTTAAGGCGGGACTCGAAAGGGGGTGGCCAAGGAAGTCCCACAGCCCTCTGGGACGCTCCCGGCTCACTGCTTCAGGGCTGCTCTCCTAGTGCTCGGGACAGGACCCAAGACTGCAACCGTGAATCTCGCGCAGGTGAGGGGCGCGCACCACCAACCTCTGGTCATCAGGACGCAGCCTCAGACAGGTGAGGACGATGTCTGGGTTACCTGGCCGTGCGGGAAGGCAGAGTTGCTGGGTCGTGGACTGCTGGACATTAGGGCTGAACGACGGTTCTGAATAAAAGTAGGGAGTTACAGACTCTGGGGGCACCAGATGGGATTAAGCGGGGTTTCTAGCCAGTGGTTTCAGGGATCACAAGGTTTCTTGTGGCCCAGAGGCGGATGCGGGGTGCCGGAGAACGCACGATGAGAGGGCAATCTGTCAGCATTTCTTGGCATTTAAAGGTCATGGATTCGGTCTTCCCAGAGTGCAGTGGAGTTAGTTTCCCCATTGGTACCAGAATCAGGATTCTTTGCAGAAGTCAGTCCTTCACTCGGATGGGCTTTGATGGACTCGGGTCATGAAGATGTGACCACTCATTTTTTTTTTTTTTTTTTTTTTTTTTTTTTTTCTGACATTTGCTCAGTTAGGGACTGAGTCTTAGAATAAGCACAGGTCATAAGATCTCAGTGACATAAAATAAATAAGAAGCAAAGGGGGCAGTGGTGTGAATTTGAGAGATTATTTCTGCAGTTAGTTCCTTATCACTGTTAAATAGTACTCTGATGGCTTTCAGATTGGATTTCCACAGGATGAGTTTTCTCTGTTCTGCATGCCCTTGTTTTGCAGTGTGAGTATACCAGCAGCACCTGGATGCTGACCCCCTGTGTGCTTTGGAAGTGACAAGCCCTGGGCACTTAAGGTGCCAAAGACCTTCTCCAAGAACCCTGGGACTTTAGAACACCCATTTCTTGGAGCATACAGAATTCAGTCACCACTATTGTAGGATGTCTCTGAACAATGATACCGTTAACACTCAGACTTTGTTTGGGTCAGCAGCAATTCAATTAAACAAATATTGTACACCTGTTAGTGGTAAGCTTCTGCAAGACCAGTCTGATGGGCTATTTGGCAGCACAGGTGTTGAGACAAAGGGGGATTTTGGAGCACTAGCTCCTTACAAGTGAGTGTGTAGAACAGCCCAGGGCTACACTATGCTTGTCCTCAGTACTGGCATCTCTAACCACAGGTAACAAGTATGATTTAGGAAGAATGTGAATCTTTGAAAATTGTCTTTAGCTATAGTGAAAAGAATGAAGAAAACCATCATTAAAATAAAGTTAAGCATCAACTGTTATAGGCAAGTCTAGGCACTTTATGCATAATAGATATTAATCCCCCATATAGATAAGAAACTGAGGCAGAGAGCAAGTCAGTAATTTGTATGAAAGGGTTGAGCTAGAAATGGAACATGGAAATATCTGAGTGCTATTGTGATAGCCCATGAGATCACATAATGTAAATCTGGAAGATTTATCAGAAATTAGAAGTGGGCTGTCTTGAATAAAGTGAGCATTGCTTTCATTGTGATTGTCTTGGTAAGCTTTGACATACCTGGGACAAGAAAATGGACAGCTTTTTTTTTTTTTGGTTCTTTTGAGACAGGGTCTCCCTGTAACCCCAGCTGGCCTGGGACTCTTTATGTAGACCAGGCTGGCCTTGAACTCACAGACATTTGCCTGTCTGTGTCTCCAGAGTACTGGGATTAAAGGCATGTGCCACCATGCCCAGAACAATTTTTTTTTAAAGATTTTTTTATAGTTTTAAATTATGTGAATGTGTGGGTGGCCATCTCTGTGTGGGCATGTGCACCTGAGTATAGGTGCTGAGGAGGCCAGAAGAAGGCATTGGACCCCCAGAGCTGGAGTTATAGGTTGTTGTAAACCGTGTACCATGGGTACTTGGGAACTAGATTTAAGTCCTTTGCAAGAGGAGCAAGTACCCAACCACTGAGTCATTTCTCCAGCCCTGACAGCTCTTACTGTTAAAAAGAAAAGTTTATCATGTGTCTTTGGTATATTTTAAAGGGCCTAATATATCCAAGTGGGGCCCATTCCTAAAACTTTACGTGTATTCTTTCTGTGTTGTTCTTGAAGAAAGAACTAATTTTCTTGATATCAATTCTTTAATATTTCTGTTTAATTTCTTAGTCAGAAGTCAATAAAGGTCATTATTGCTCCCTAGAAAGGTCTTTGTGTTTATATATGATTCTATGCTCATATATGAACAGATATCTAACAGTAAAAGACTATATCCATCCTTCTTTCAATCTATCTCAAAAATATCTCAGTGGGCAGATTTGGTAAGGTAACTTTTGAATTTTGAATAAATGATTCATGATATCTCTACTGAAAACTTCTCAAATTGTGTGTGTTAGAGAAGTGTTCCTCTAATTCTACTCTATAGAACTGAGAAGTTGGCATATTTCCTATCAGAACACTTACTTTCTTAAAACTTTTCCTGTAATTGTAGTAACAAATATAAACATCAAAGGTCTTTACATTTAAATTATTTGGGGATATATCTATTAACTGCTGGGCAAGGGCTTTTGGCTGTGTGGGAAGGATCAGGTAGGATATTCTGACTGTATCATTCTTGATACAAGTTTATTTTCTCTATTTGGCAGTAAGATTGACAAGTTACCCTGCACTACTTTTTATGTGCCTTTAAAATCTGCTGTAGGGGATGTTTTAGACTTGCACTTCACCTGGTTAAGGTGGTCCAAAGACAGGGGAGGACTAGATGATGAATTGGAAAAATGCCCAGAAAATCCAAAGCTCTTCAAAGAAGAGTGTGCATGGGGATAGATACAGATTTTAGGTATCCTGAATGGCAAAAAATCCTTTTGAAGAAAATCAATAAAAAATTGGGGCATAAAAGTGAATATTCATTTGAAATGAGGATGAAATAGATAAGACCTTGTGGGGATTTTCTTTCTGCTGCAATTTTATTGGGTAATTTTTCAGAAATGTTTGTAGAGAAGTGCTTCCTGTTTGCAGCCTGGCTTCCCCTCTCCTGAGACTACTTAGCTTCTATCAGTTGCGTGACCCCATGGGGGCCCTGTCTTGTAAGAGGCCCAAGACTGAAGCGCCTGAACTTGCAGTGGGTGAGAAGCAGCTTTGTGGCTGAAGGCCATGAATTCCCCAAACCAGTGGTGAAGAGACGGCTGAGCAGGGGTGGAAAGAGCTCTGGCTGGTCAGGGACTCTTGGCAATCATGTCCAACGAACAGCTCAGACATGATCTCTAAGACTTTCCAGGGATCTTTCTCATTGACTCTCCATCAGTCATCATTTACTAAGGGTTTTCTTTGTCTTAAAGTGAGCTAAAAGCCTTATTTCTAGGTACTTGACACTCCTAGAAAGGGTTTCTTTGATCACAGTGCAGTACAGAGGGTATCTGGATAGAGGAGCTATGGAAGCCCTTGTATGGCTTCTGATGAATGAGCTGTTTGGAATTGTTGCAGGAGTTACTGAGATGGAGTGAAGGAAGGGTGTTGGAGTTGGACAGAGGACTACAGGATGCCCCAAAGGACTGGAGCTACTTGTTGCCCTCACTGATGTAGCCACGTCCTTTAGTTTCTTATGATGTCCTTTCAGAGCAGATCCCTGAGATCAACTTGCTGCACATGCCTGTTCTCAGGTTCCACCCTGGTCCCTGATATCAGCAGCCCTTCATCTAGCATAGACGTCTTCCTAAAAGCACCCAGCAGATGATTCTGGGGGAATGTTAAAGTTTGAAAACAACCCCTTATACTTTTTAAGAAAACAGGCAAGAAAGAGAATCCCTTGTGCAGATTAAGGGACAGTGTGGACGCTAATGCCAATGCTGATATATTAATATTATAATGTAGTCTGAGCATCTACGACTTGGGTATTGGAAATTCAAAGGATCCCAGATCTGAAACTTTTGAGTATTAATGTGACACTTCAAGGAGAAAATATCGTACTATCAAACTTTGCCTCATGTCTAAAAATATTAAAACATTGTATGAAATTTCCTTCCAGCTAGGTGCAAGTGAAAAATAAGTGATGTACAGACTTAGGTCTTATCACTAAGATATCTTACTGTGTATATGTACATATTATAATATTTGTATCTGAGAAAATATAAAACTCCAAAGTCTTCTGACCCCAATCATTTTAGATAAGTGATATACCACACATAATAATTTGAACTGGTATTGTTAATGTGTATTGTGTACTTATGTGGTGCCATGAATTATGTTAAAAATATTGCCATTTAGACAGGTGTGTAGTGATGCATACCTTTAATCTCAGCACTTAGGGGGCAGAAGCAGAGAGGCAGGTTGGAACTTTGTGACCTTGCAACCAATCTGGTGTACATAGTGAATTGTAGGCCAGCCAGGACTACATAGTGACTCTCTCTCTCTCTCTCTCTCTCTCTCTCTCTCTCTCTCTTTCTCCATATATATATGGATATCCTTTTCTGAGAGACATGGTCTCCCTATAGCCTCAGTTAGCCCGGAACTCTCCATGCAAACCAGGTTGGCCTCAATCTCACAGAGATCTCCCTGCCTCTACCTCTCTAGTGCTGGGATTAAAGGCATGTGCCACCTTGCCTGATATATATCACCTTTTAATAGCAAGTCTAACCCCAAAATGAGACATGAGTCATGATGCAAATATAAGAAAATAGCAATAAAGCAAAAGGATATTGTTTCTGATCAAACAAAAGTGTGGAAAGTAGCTCAAGAAGAGTTCAAGCCCTGACAGTCTTGTTCCAGTGCTTTCCTTCTCATCCTGCCTGGGACAGTTTCCTTAGATGCCACTGTCTTGTGCTGGCATTAGGGAACAAGTCTAGAAGGCAGGCACAAAAGGGGGTGCACATTTTTAAAACCAATATGTCATTTCATGGCTATCTCAGATTCCCATATTGGGAAAGAAATAGGAGTCTTTATCACTCATTCTTAGAGCAGACCTTAAAGCTTGAGTGTGTTGGTTACTTTTCTTGTCAGGGTGAGAAAATACCTGAAAGCAGCAACTTAAGGGGGGAAAGATTTATTTTGGCTCCTGGTTGGTGAGGGTGCAGTGTATCCTGGGCAGGAAGGCATGATGGCAGGAGTGTAAGCAGGTGGTTACATAATCTCAGCAGTCAGGAAGCAGAGAGCTTAGCTGGAACTGGAG